AGGGGGCGGGGGGGGGGGGGGGCCTGCACTGCAGCTGCAGTGCTGCTTTATGCAGACTGCAGTCTGCAGGGGCGGGCAGGGGCGAGATTTTTGAAAAAAATTTAAATTTTAAAATATAATTTATAAAAAATATAAATATAAATTATATAAAATATAAAAAAATTAATGTATATTAAATAAACCGGACCGAAACCGGAACGGACCGGACCGGAACCGGAATGAACCGGTAGCGGTACACCGGTACGAAACTACGGTTCCGTCCCGTTCCGTGTACCGGTTTAGAATATCCCGGCCCGTCACGTAGGCAACCGAAACGGGACGAACCGGAACGAACCGGAACGATACCGATACGTCCCGTTCCGTTGTCCAGTCTTACGCCTTATAACTCTAATTTCTCTATTATTTTACTTCTAAACATTCCTATTAAAACCCAAGGAGAAGTGGAAAACACCCTATTATGGGAAAGTGTATAAATAGGTGTTTGGAGGATCACTATTTAAAAGTATCTTATATTGTCTCTATTTGATATTGTTTGTCATATTTCATTTTTCGAAAGTCAATTTGATTATTTTTCAAAATTAAATTAGATTACATTAATTTGATATTTTAAATAAAAAAATTAAATATTCTAAAACGATATGAAAAGTATTATAAATTATAATTTTTTGCATATAAATATGATGAAAAATACATCTTAAATTTTTATTGTTTAATTCTAAAAATAAAAACCACGATAACCAATGCCAAACAAAGGAAATACAAAATATGTTAAAGCAAATTCAGGCTTATAATATTAAAATAAAAAATTCTAGGTTGAAGTTACATAATATCATATCTTTTAAATTGTTCATTTCAATGTATTCCTTTTATTTTAGTATTCCTAACCTCTCATAAGAGTTTTCTTTTTATATTGTGTATTTAACGGAGTTATTTATTCACTATCTATTTCAAAATAATTCAAATGTAAAATAGTTTTTTATAACCAAACGACCTGCAGTTCCTTTGGGCTGTACTGTGGACGCTTTAGTAGTAAAATAAAATGAAGTGTTTAATTTGGTCTCGGCCTTAAACGAAACACAACAAAGCCACCACAGATCTCTTGGCCGAGAAATAACAGAAAAAATCCCCTTTACAAACAGTAGTAGCAGAATTAGGAGGGGGAAAAAGTCTGCGTGTTCGACAGGGAAAAGGGAGCTCTCCACCTTCTCCTCGGTCTCTCCGTCGCATTATCTATTTATCAAGTTTGTCTTTTTCATATTTCTTTTTACCTGTACAAGTTGATTGGAGGAGGAATTTTGGGTGGTTTTCTTCACCGATCTCTTCTCCAAGAAATGTCGGCTATTTCGAATTTCACGGCGTGCCGGCGTTTCCAAAATGGAGCTGCATTAACAAAAGACTCACCTGGGGTTGGTTTGATTACTAACAAGTTTCTGGCGACCAAGATTTCTACGCCATTCCACAAGGTAAGTAATTTGTTTTCCTGGTTTTCACCAAGTTTGGACTAATGGGTAACCGGTATATTAATGAAACCATTACTCCTTCGTTATAAACGATGTTAACATTAAAAAAGGTCCAATTTTTATGCTTTTTTGGTATCTTGCTTACGTGTTTTAGCTTTTATTAATGAACTGTGTCCCAAATCTAAACTAGTTGAGGTCTATATAAGCTAGTTGGTGTCTTTCTTTCCTTTTGTAGCATTATTAATGAACAATGTTGCAATTCTAAACTAGTTGAAGTCTATATATGTCTGCTCTATTGGGGCCTGTGGAAGATCATTCATAGTAGTTTGATTATATGTAGGCTGTCTGTTTATGTTTTTCCATAGGAATGCAAATGCTATGTGAATACCATGGACTTCTCCTGGTTTTAGTGTGATACCTTAGAATTTGGCGGCACGTTTCTTGATTAAGCTGCTGGTCCATTTCAGAGTTATTTTACTATTTGTGCTATTCTGTAGTTTTGTATGATGTTTTTAGAAGTGACTGGAATAGTCTCAGACTGTCAAATAATGACATGTTTATTCTATTTCTCGAGCACATGTGTGAATTCGGTGACTCTGGTTTCTTGCTCATATTTCTCGATCATCTGCGTGAGTGAAAAGCAGCTACCCACTCTAGTGGTGCTCTTCTTCTTCATAGCATAAAAGCTTTAAATGGAAATTTCTTTTACTTCCATATTAATGACTGAGGTCATTAAGTTCGATGGTTTCTATGCTCTAGTGATAATTTTCTCATCTTGTTTTTAGTTTTTTTTGTCACTCCCTCCATTTCAAACTAAGTGGTGTTTTTACCTTTTCATTTGTTTCAAAATAAGTAAAAATACATCTTACTTTCTAGTAACGAGTAGTTTTCTTAAGGGGCGTGCCCAAGCTAAAAACACCAATTATTTGAAATGGAGGGAGTAATAATTTAGAATTTTACGCGGTAAATTAAATTTTATAAGTGATCCGATTTAAAATAATGAATGGCTTTGCATATTCTAAAGGGCTGTTGTGGTTCACTTTGCTCTGCTCAGGTGTCTCTCGTATGTTCAAAAAGGACGTTTAAAGGTTCAAATATAAGAATGACAATGTTAGATGACAAACTTTCCAGCGGGAAGGTTGTTGTGCCATCTGAAGTGCTGGTAGTGGATCTGTGCTATATCTCTTATTATCAAGTACTTATTTTGGAAAATTTGGAGTTGACTTCTCTTATACTTTTGGTAAAATTGTTGGTTCATTAATTTGTGACACTTACATCAGCACTTCTTCCTATCTCTAGAAGGATTGTACACAAAAATTTGATTCCATAATGGTGCTAAATTTAGTAAACATCATCAAACTTTTTTCTATTTGAATACAACTTTTGAAAAAGTTAGTTGACATGATAAAAGAACCTTCAGAAGGTACTTGAATATTAGAGAAAGTTTATCTTGGGAACTGAAGAAAGGAAGAGATAGGAAGGAAACGAGAGTGAATTTTCTCTTCTCTTGTTTGGTTGGTAGAGAAAGATTTGAGGATCATGGAGTACGGAAAGATCTTTTCCAAATTGGTGGCACGAAGCTGTGTTCTCTGTTTCTTCCTAACAATAGAAAGGAAGTGACGGCTTTTTCTCTAAATTTTTCTATCGTATTTTCTCTTCCCTTTCTCTGTTCCAAGCAAACAGTTAAGAAATGATATTATTTTTTACTTTCAATCTACACTCTTGTTTTTCAGATGAAACAAAAATGATTACACTGTTTTAAGTTTTAATACTTCTATACAAAAGTTATTTACGTTAGTTCAATGGATATCTAAAATCTAGAGGAAGGTAAATTATCAAAAAGTTTAAAAGTAAAAGTTTTCAGATGAAACAAAAATGATTACACTGTTTTAAGTTTTAATACTTCTATACAAAAGTTATTTACGTTAGTTCAATGGATATCTAAAATCTAGAGGAAGGTAAATTATCAAAAAGTTTAAAAGTAAAAGTTAAGGAAAATATATATCTGTTTTCACTTTCAATAAAAAAGGGAGGTATATCTGTTTTTTTCTCAAATTACGTAGTATTAAAGTAGTAATTGTTATTCGCTATAAATGTAGCAATTGAAGAGTGTGACTACCAAAGTTGTTTGATGTGCAACTGAATCAATCTACTACTGATGAGATTATTTTTCTATGCAGGCATATGAGCTCGTTCAAGGAGCAAAAGTAAGTCTCTTTTTTGAGTTGAAATGTAACTAATTTATGTTTGCTATGCTTTTTCTTTTTCCTTTCCCTCCTCTTTATTTTTTTTCACATTTGTATTTATTTTGAAGTATGCATGTGGGATATATCTGTTCGGAAAGTATTTTACAGCTGAACAGTAACCTAAGTATTTGAGTTGGTATGAAGTGTATAGATGGTGATATTCTGACTGTTCTGGGCCACGTCAAATTATAGTAGAAAAATCTGAAAAGTATTGCTTTAATCTAGTGGATACGGAGTGCAGTCTAGTCCTAGACCTATTTTTCTTTTTAGATTTTTGTTTTGTTTTTCCTTTTCTTTTTCTTGTCCAATACGGACTATACAGTGAATCAGATCTCCGGTCAGAAAAAGAAGCATATCTTTTCATGAAAAACTCTTGCTCGAGTGCTGCTACCTCTGGTTGGTGGAACATATATATAAAATTAGACACTTAGCTATTGCGTGTCATACACTTTTTGGTTACTGCTTTGTTAGTGAAAGGACACCTTAAATGGGTATTGTTTCGTGTCACAATATAACTGTTTGAGTTCATCTGAGAAGCAACTATGTGGTATATGATTTTAGTTGTATGATTTTAATCTAATGAAAGCCAACCACTATATACATATTTCAATCAATCAATAACCTTAATTACAATCTAATTGAGGTCGACTTTGTGAGTCATCTTTATACGTCCCTTACTATTCTAGGACATTTGGATTTTCATTCCAAAGTATTGGTAAATATTTGTCTGTCTCACAGCACTGACCCTCATATGGGACAATAAGGCTCTTTTTTTTTCCATCTGTAATATTCGGGCACATCTTATTCCATGATGTTAGTTATAGATTGTCTCCTAGGGCTAGTTAAGAGGTTTCCTAGATCCATTCTTATCTCTAATATGCGAGTTATTGCATAGGAGCGGGGTTTTTACCCTGTGTGCACCCAAAGGTAGCGGCTGCGGGTTTCCCTTGTCATAAGAATAATTAAAAAAACTCTCATCTCTACGCGGACTCCCATGTCAGAATAATTCTAAGATACTTGTACAAAGAGTGGACTAATTTGGTGTGTCAGCAACAACAAAGGCAACAACTAGGGTTTTATCTCAACTGGTATCACCTGTATGGATTTTTTTTACAATTGTCTTCTCCTCTTAGCGAAGTTCGCATCAATATGCATATTTCAAATTTTAAAGTTTTTGGTGATGGGTACACAGGAAAATGGGTTACTTTTATCATTTTGGTTGTGTTGTTTTCATTGTTGTTGTCATTGTAGCTCTTATTATGCTGCCATTGTCATTATTGTTTATTATTCCTAAAGTTGTTAATTCATCCCTGTCAAGCAATTTTCAAGTATAAACTTGAAATAAAAGAAGCCCCAAGGGCCTTGGTTCTAAGGCAAAGGTTGTACAAGAAGGGATGTGTGATAGGTAATAGCATAAAATTGAATCCTGTCCAGTGAACTAAGTATGGTGTTTAAGTAGATAGGATCCCATTATCCAATGGGTAATGTAGATGATAATATCAGAGTTAAGAAGATAAATTTATAAATAAACATACCAAATAGTTCAATGAATAACATATATTCCCCTGAGACATGACAATGGACCTCTCATTCAATTTTTAATCATCCTCCTCTTCTTTCTTGATATAACTTTGGGGAGACATCCCCTTTTTGCTGGATATCATCATAATTATCAAATTTATGACTTCAAAAAATGTTTTTGTAGTCTTAAGGAACTAAGATTCATTATTCCAACAGATAAAGTTGTTCAAAACTCTAGCTTTTTTCCATTTTCATAAGTTCTGTACATTCAATCATTTTTCAGTCCACAATCTATTTACTTCACTTATTCATTGATATGCTAAATAAACTAGTAGAATTGGTAATTTCTCTAGCCCATTAAACGTTTTTTCTGCTGTTTAACACGTATATGCCTTTGATAATTGGAACTTGGATGTATAGGTAAAATGGAGTTATATTATGGAGGGATCGTTGCCTGAACCACCGACTGCTGTTCTCTTGCATGGTATTCTTGGCAGCAGGAAAAACTGGGGTAATGACTCATTTAAAGATTTGTAACATTTCGGCACAACACACAAATGTCTTGTGTATTCACTGAATTCTCATGATTCTTTTAAAGTGCCTTGTTTTTCAAATTTCTTATCCTTGTATCTCTGAGCATATATTAACATTGCACATGCAGTGCTCGGTCAAGTCTTCTTATGTAACTAGCAGTTGGAATTTTGCTTGAAACGAGAACAGTTCCAACACCAGAATGTCTAAATGAAATTGTTATCATTTCCAAAACAGAGAGGAGTTGTAGAAACTTGAAAACTAATTCATGTACCATCTAATTCCCTCAATTTTCCAAATGGCACGGAATAATTCTTTCCTTACCCATTGCTTACCTCTTTATGAAATTAATAACCCATTCCATATTTCCATCTGCACAGAGTAATGTTCTATGTCCTTAGATTTCCATCTGCACTGAGTAATGTTCTATGTCCTTAGTTTTCTATCTTGATGCTCTAAATTGCACAATTGTTACACCTAGTAGCAGCTGATGCTGGTTGAGTTCAATTTGTTTCAGTTTTATTGGTGATTGCTGATTAGGACCATCTTAGCTATACTTCAGAAACTCTTTCTTGGATAGGAAAAACTTGCTTTCGTTTAGCAGAAAAGTTAAGGGAGTGTTGTGACAGAGATACTGGAAAGGAGATTCCATATTTTTTTTCTTTTCACCCGACCATGAACCAAGTTTCATGATGCATCATGCTTATTGCTCTCTGTGAATTCTCCTTTTATCTTCAAGTACAATGGGTTTACTCAAATTCTGTTTCCCCCTTTTTGTTTTGATATCTAACTGTGTTGCAAGTTCTTCTGCAATGTACTTCAGAATCCTGATAAAGAACCTGTAGTTTGAGCCTTGAGGAAGTTCATATTACAATAAAATGTAAAACTATTTGCTTAACGAAAAGACTGATTTAAAAGTGTCTCTATTGCTGGAGTGCAAGGGAAATTTTACATCTTGTGGCATAGAGGTTCTTATTTCCATAGAGAATTACTAGTTAATTGCCGACTTACTATTGCTTTAGATAGTTTTCTTTTGATTTCTATTATTTTTATTTTTCTTATTCCTCCAATCTGCTCAACCAATTTTTTCGTTCTTCAAGTTTCTTCTCGTCAACCTTTTTTCATGACAATCTCAAATTTTCAGGAAGCTTTGCTAGGAGATTGGCCCAAGAATTTCCGAAATGGCAGGTAGTAGAGATAAGCACTACTTCTTATCCCTTCTTATATACGCAATATCTTAAAGAGTTCTACATTATGTTTACCTTGTCTCAATTGGACAGGGAGTGTGTTTTGTTGCATGTTGTTTACTGTTGGCCAATTCAACCCCCTTTTCTTCTATATTTTATCTGTGAAGAATGAAGAGAAAGGAAGATTTGATCTGGCATTACTACCCTTGAGAGATAGTCTATTCTTATATTCGTAAAGCTTGGAGACATTGAAAAGCCCAAGAAGATTCTTTTCACATAACCATAGATTAGGCAATTCCCAGGCTGCTCAATTAGTGGTCACTGAAAGGGAAGGAGGTCTCAGGTTCAAATCCCAATGAAGGCAAAAAACACTTGGTGGTTTGTTTCCATCAGTCTAAACCATGGTTGTCAGGGTTACCCGTATCTGCGCTAGTAGAGATAGCAAGTACCTAGTGAATAGTTGAGGTGAGTGCACGCTGGCCCGTACACCACTGTCATTAGAAAAAAACATAATCATAGATTATATAAAAACAACACCTGAGTGTTTTTGTTGAACTTTTGGATAAGTGACATCCTCTTGTCTGTTCTTCAATTCTTTCCTGTATACTGTATTGAGCTGCTTACATTTTATCACTAAAATGATACGTCCTAAAACAATTTCTTTTTGGTTGTTGGAAGACAAATATAGGAACAAATTCAATTTCAAACTTCATTGAAGTCATTAATTAACATCCTATAGAAACTCTTTTGGGAACAATAAGTTTGGAGCGCAATGATGTTGGGGCAACTTTTGTTGTAGGGGTGCTGTATCATATGTGGCTACGCGTCAAGTCCTTACCTGAAAACAGTGCTCTATTTTTATCGATTTATTTGATCAAAAAGGTAATATTAAAACATATAGTGAAGCTTTAGAAAATAAAACAAAAACATATGAAGCTCCCAATTTTTTGGGGTTCTGATGTGCTTTATTACCCTCCTGAGAGAGGCAACTAGAAACAGATTGTGATGTATTGAACTGTTCTATTTGAGCTTGTTTGAGTTTTCCTGAATATTTTTCATTAACTCTTGGAAGATACTATTAATTGCGGTCTCATATTCTTGAACCAATATTTTCTCCTCTTTGTGGGGATGTCATCTTGAATTCATTTGCTTTTGATGCCTTTCGCCAGTTGTTGTCCTCAAAAATCACGTTCTTCTTCAACTGATTGTTGATATTTTATGATTGACTTGTTTTGATATGATATTTGGGTGATACTGATATTGTTGCGGACAGTCTTACAGTAGATTTACTTTTCTGCAGTTTCTCCTGGTGGACTTGCGGTGCCATGGTGATTCAGCATCCCTCAAGAAGAGAGGCACACATACAGTCGCGTCAGCTGCTCTTGATGTCCTAAAGCTGGTATAGTTTCTTGACCATGACCTGTTGCCTTATGCAAGTACTGTATTTTCTTGAGTGCCATTTTATATGGCATCCGTATCACTAAGCTTTTTGTGGGGCAGGCATGGAAAATTTTGACAGACATTATCAGTCAGTCCTTGACTGTGCTTCTATTTGTTTCGTTGAAGTTTAGAAGAGCATGACCAGTTGCATTATTCTCAAATGTATATTTTTCTTTGAATATTGATAAACATATTATCTTTCTGCAAGTAGATATGGGTCTTGCATGCACACTTGTGGATGTTTACATGTTTCATGTGGAAACATTAGCTATGGTCATGTCATCCTAGAAGCCCCCATGATTGATGTTGTTCCTTCCGTTATTGTTGAACTTTTTTGCCCTCATAGTTGACTTGCAATTCTAATTCTTTCAGTTAGATATCCATTTCCTATTTCATCCCTTTTTTTGTGGGATCAGTTCTCTACTTAGTCAAGTAGACAACATTCATTATTATTGGGTTCTCCCATTACATTCCCAACTGCTTTCAAATTTTCAAAGAGGGGACTAGCTTCATCTTCAAACCCATGAAAGTGAAGCTTTCTTCATCCATCTAAAGGCATCACATCTACTGGTGGTTTTACAATGACTTGCATGGCTTTTCGTCGTCACAACAATGGGTAATGAAGTGTCAACCTTAGTGTTGACTGAATGAATCTTTGTTGATCATCGAATGATGTTCTGATTCCCATGAATTTTCACTACATGCTTTGTTTGGACTGAATCACAAGATTTCTGAGTGTTAGTAATCTCTGTTCTCCCCTTGGCTTGATTGGTCAAGGCAGTTGACCTGTGCAACCTAGGTGAGAGGCCAAGATATGTGCATCATGTGATTTTTCCACATCAGCTAGGTGTCACCATCTCTTTTTGATAAGGTAAATAATTTTATCAATATTGGGAAATCCCTGCATACAAGATGTAGAGAAACCTACTCTAAAATATGATTCTCTACGAAGTCACCCACTCAACTAAACAAACAAGAACCTATTTGTGCAACAAAAGAAACTAGAGACAAGAAGCTACTCTTCACATGTACAAAATCACCCCAACCCCTTCGAAAGCTCTCCTATCCCTCTCCCTCCGCACAACCCATATACGTCTCTGATAAGTGTCCTGGCCAACTATCTTATGGCCTATTTGTTAATTTGCTCTAAGATGCTGCATTTTATGCAGGATTATTTTTTTGACGTGACAAGGCTAGTTTAATTTGAATCAAATATGGGTCCCGCAGACCTGTCCAAGATGTCCACTCTATGTACTCGACACATGTGGTCCTTCCCTCTGTGTTTGTGTTACATTGTCAGTGACTTACATTGTTGTCTCTTATGATTCTCTTGTTTTTCTGATTTTGTGTTGGGTCAAATGGTTCCCCATTTTGCCTCTTCACTTCTTGCCTGAGATGTTAACACTATTACGGTAACACATTGCTTGGGCTCAATCTTTATTTCTTCTGTCTAGCTTGGCCAGCTCAGACTGACTCCCCGAGTTGTAGTTGGTCACAGCTTTGGAGGAAAAGGTAACTTTTAGCTTATTACAGTGAAAAGCTACTTGGTGAATTCAATTGATATTTTGTTGTTTAGACATTGATCTTCCTTATTACTATGCAGTTGCATTGAGCATGGTTGAGCAGGTTCCAAAGCCCCTTGCACGGCCTGTTAGAGTAAGTATTCTGTATGAAGACTGTAAAAGCATGCTTGCAGTAATATCAAACACAGTTTTGGATATAGATTGGAACTTGTGAGTGGTTAAAGCAATGTTAAGAACTCAGTTAAGGCAGTATATACCATTTGCTTCACAATTCTCTCATTTTGAATGGGTGATATCGGTAATTGATCTTTACGCATAAGTATCCCGTAATAAAATTCTACAAGCATACTTGAGATAATATCAAATACTGTTTCAATATAGCTTAAACTTGTGAAAACTTAAAAGTAATGTTAAAAGCTCAGTTAAGGCTATATACCATTTGCCTTCCAGTTTTCTCGTTTACATATGATGATTTTGGTAATTGGCTTTCAGGGATGATAATTTTCTTTTCTATTGCACTTTCTTTTGTCTTGCAATCTATTTTTCCATCATGTGTTTTTTTTTCTTTTTCTTTCCACTCCAAATTCTTAGAAGTAATTCAAACTAATTGGGTCATAGGTCTGGGTTCTAGATGCCACTCCAGGAGAGGTTCGAGCTGGTGCAGATGGAGATGATCATCCAGCTGAATTGATATCATTTCTGAGTAAATTACCAAAAGAGGTAAGTCCTTCTGGTGATTTCACTTTGTATGAAAATGTCTCCATGTATGTTGCTTTACATGAACCTTAACAAACTTTATTCTCTCTACTTGTTAACTCTCCATGATATCTTTAGTGTGTCAATATAGATACGTGTTCATTTTAGGATTTTTGAGAAGAAATTGGGATGGGAGGTACAGTGGGCCTATTAGTGTGTTCATTCTCTGATGTGTATAGTTTAAAAGAGCAAAATAGGATTGCATTCTGAAGATAGAAATTTCTTGTTAAGTGTGTCATGTTTTTTTTTGTACCTCGCTTGTATAAATATTTGATCAAAATTGTGGATGGCTGCTCCTACATATAGAGTTGAGATTTGCTTAGTTATTGTAAACAATAGCTATCTCCCTCTTTGATAATAAATGTTTCACCTGTCCAAAAAGAATTCGCAAGAACTACTTTAGGTTTAAGGTATGATTGATATTTAATGTAATATGCTTACAATGACAAAGTAGTTTTTGGTGGCAAAAGCGTGTCCATTAGTTTGGAAGTAGAAGCTGAATGTGTCGGAGCAATGGAGAACAAGCCTTTCTCCTTCATATTTTACCTTGCTTTTGACTAATTCTTCTGTTCTTGCATGTTGATATTGTTTGACACTACTCTTGGTTTATAACTTGAAATAGCTTACAGTGTTGTGTTGAAACTTTATTAGCCTAGGCTATACAATTCACTCACTCAACTGTTGGTTCTCCTTCTCATCTCTCTCTCGTTCTGTCTTTGTTTTTTTACTGATATATTCACATAATCTGTATTGACGTCAATTCTTTTTATGAATAATATTTTTCAAGGAAGGTCTCTTCAAAACGAGATATTGTGGATGCTCTGATACAAGAAGGTTTTTCCAGGGATGTAGCACAGGTATCCCCTGGCCTCACATATTTTTCTTTCTAGGAATTCTGAAAGGTTAAACACTTAAACTTCAACTTTGCAAAACTTAAATTGCTGTATAAACGAAGACATTTTTCTGCATCTAGTGAGGCACTGAGCTTGATATTGAGTAACTGAGGAATGAGATCTCTGAAGTTCGTTAGAAACATTATCAATGTACTTCTTTAAGTTGTTGTAATTTTTTCCACTCTTCACAGTGCATGGAGAGTGAGCCAGTATATATCTCTTGACTACTACTGTGAAAGAAAAAGAGAATGATGATTTAGTAGGCCTACCAAGGATAAGTTGTCCAAAACAAAAACGGAAAAGAACCGTACCACAATAGTGACACTCCCCAGTCTCTCTTAGCATCTTGTAATGGACCTATAGCCTTAGTATGAAAGGCAGGAGAATACCCTATCTCGAATGCCTCTGACATGTCTACCTGGGTCCTGGAAAGATACATGTGATATGCCCACCGGAAACAATTGCCAACTTTGGGGAGAAACTTCTAATTTTACAATATCTTAAGCCCCTTAGTCAACTCTAACCAATATAAGTCCTTTATAGTAGCAATCAATCTCTTCCACCTTTCCTTTCTAAAGAGAGCTTATAGAAAAACATTGGGAGTCTTGTTTTTCCATATGATTTATTGGAAATGATGTTCTTGAATTTTGTTGGTTAGAATAGGAGACGATGTTTCACTCTACACCATTCAAAATTTAAACCGTCATTGCTGAAGCTGGATTCAGAAGTTAGAGCGCACGGGTTCAGAATTCTTGTGCTCCTATTATTCCTCTAATGCAGCTAGTTTGATTCTTTTTTTAATAATACACATAGGGGTCGTTTTGTATGCTGAACAAGCATAGATAGTAAAAGAATAAAAAATTAATACTGCCTTATCCCTTGTTTGGTTACTAATCCTAAGATAAGTTATACTATAATTAGTAATTATACTGAGATAAGTTAGCCGGTGGGCGGAATAATAGTACCGGGAATAGTTATCCCTCGATAAAACAATGAAAATGACAAAATACTCCTGAGGTCCCTACAACCCTTTTTCTGTATAACGTGGTGGGTATTTTTGTAAACAAACAATTTTTCTTATAAAGTATGCAATGTATGTTATTTTTAATATAACAAACTAAACAGTCAATAAGAAATAGTACCAAGATAATTGATCACATCATCACTAATCCCAACATAACTTGTCTACGAACCAAATGACCCATAGTCTCTATTCCTTTCACTTAACATATAAGGCCAGAGCAAGGCATAGCGGATTTCACCAAACTTACTGCGTCTACACTAGATATGCCTGTCTTCACTGCTCAAAGTGGATGACCTCATCACGCATGCATTTAACACTATTTCTTTGGTGCAAGAAAAGGTTTGAATAGAATAGGGGAATTCAGTCGAGGGAAATGCAATTAACACTAGTGCACAGTCCAAAACTTAGTGGATGCCTGACCCTCTATCCTGTCTCCACTTAAATATCAAACTTTTGTCCGTGGCCGCGTTCAAAATTGCACAAGTAGCATGTAATTGTTTGTAAAATAGATTTAGTAAAGGAGTATATCATGCAGTATGTCTGACTAAAAGTTCATCTATAAAGGCCATCATTCCATCAAACATTGTTCATTACCATATTTCTAACTGTTGATTTGCTTGCACATGAGACATGAGTTGGCCCAGTTCTCATTTTTTTCCCAACTGATGTCTGACAGTTACCTTTGTAAATTTTGCAGTGGGTGGTAACTAACCTTCGTCAAACCAACACTGCTGGTTCATCTCCTTCACCTTTGTCATGGGTGTTTGATCTCAAAGGTATTGCTGAAATGTATCAATCATATGAAGAAACAAATCTGTGGTAGGTTGCTCATGTCTGTTTTAAATTGCAGATTTTTGTATGATCATTCTTTTGGCTTCTTGTTCATTCCTCAACTGTTACAAGCGTGTACCAGTTGTCCAATACTGGCGTAGCCTGGACATGTACTAATTGTGGTTCAACAAATTACAAGCATGCACACCCTCTTTATCTTGTTGCTATAAATTAAATCAAAAGATTTTAGAAAAAAACATGGAAATCTTGATAAGTTGCAGGATATATTATGACTAGATTAAATTTCAACATTAATATAAGAATAGCAAGACGATCAGGAGTTTTTCTTCTAGGGGCAATGTACTGGGGGACTGGTCGCTCAGCTCAATGCTAGCACAGCTATAGAAAAAAAAAACTAAAAGGGAAGTGGAATATCTGGTATTATTGGAGCCTTAAAAAGTATTACGTATCGACATGCTAAGAATAAATGTGCACTGTAATAACTTATTTTATTCATATGATAATGAATGTGTGGCTTTTGCGAGGACTAAATTGAAGCTGGTTAAATACTTTAATTGTAGGTGAGTATATCAATGGTCTATTTCATATCTTTTTTGTGTTTTGTCACCAAGTTTCTAGTGGATCAAATCCATGGCTCATTCCCCCCAAAAAGGAGGGAATACTTATTGCAAGATCTTCTTGCAGGAAAATTGTGGAGGATGTTCCTCGGGGCGTGCATGTTAACTTTTTGAAAGCAGAAAGAAGTTTGCATAGATGGGCTCTTGAGGATATTAGAAGAATCCATGTTGCTGAGGAACAGGCTGTAGAGGAAGGAGGTGGAGTCGAAATGCATGTCCTCGAAGATGCAGGTCATTGGGTAGGTTGCTTCTTTCCTACACATTTCTTTCTTCTGTATGTATATATTTTGTTAGTTCTCAAGACGCAGAGTGTTTTTATTTTAAAATGTGCATCAGAGTTGGAAGCTGATAATTTATCATTCTTCCTCCCTTTCAAATCTTGAACTGTAGTTTGATTACGTTTGGAGTTTAGGAAAGAAAGATAAGACTTTTTTGTGTCTTGAACATGTCATGAGATTTCTCCAGCTATAAAAGCATGTCATTTAGAGTAAAAGTTAAACTGTCTCCAAATATAGAAAGGTGTCATTCTGCTTTGTATGGACTAATAAGGAAATAATGCCAAAGAAAATAGAATGGAGGGGGTACCTAGGTCGACTAGAGTTCATAAAATACCCGATGAATTGTGTCTCGGGAACTGATGGCCTCATCATTCCTTCTAGTGTTGGACTATCTACCCTCTTCTCCCAAACCGATATACAAAGAATAGCTAACCTGGTTGAATCCGGAAAAACAACTTTGCGTTACTAATGCTATCATATTCTGCATCTTTGGTTTCCCATTGTGTGGCGATGAACTGTGTCAAACAGAGCTTCTAGGAAGACAATTATAATTCTGATTTCTGACAGACAACAATGAACTTAGGGTACATGTTACTTGCTGTTTACATAAATTGTACAATTTTGCATCGCTTGATCCTTTGTCCTAATGCGAAGTATGTATCTTTTTTCCAGGTACATGCTGATAACCCAGATGGGCTATTCAAGATCCTTTCATTTTCCTTCCAAGGATTTTAGGCCCAAGGAATTCTGGCATTGACCCTATGACCTGAATATAGGTTGTGAACCCCTTGCAACCTATAAGATTGCAGAAAGATCCAATTCTTTTTGTAGTATAGTGTATATCATCTCATTCATTATGATTTGCTCGTTCTAGAATGTGATGTGCAGAAATTAGTTTGGTGGGGCTGTTTCACCTTTAAAGCTGAGTACACGATACAGAATTGTGCAAAGAACTTATTTACAAGTTATGTCCTGATGGATCATTAAACACCAGCTTTACTGGGTAATGTAAGCTCATTTATCTTCTTCAAATGAATATGATTCTACCAATTCATACATCAATTACATTCTGGAAACTAGGCATCACCAGTACCCATTGCAAATCATTTGTCTGATATGGATATAAGGGCATCTAGTAGCTGGTTCATCTAAAGGGGCGAACCATCTAATAGTGAAGCAAATGATTAGAGGAGGTTTTGATGGTGCAACACTCTTAACTATTCTCAAACTTGAAAAAATAGGTAGGACCGCGTGGCCGCACATATCCGGTAATAAGAACGAACTCGAGGGTTCCAACAAGCTACTGCGTACAATCATAGATTTTCATTGAATATATTATGCGACTGAAATAATTACCTGCGTATATACATTTAAATCAGAATCACTCATGAATGTGATTGAACTCTTTGGCTTTCAAAGAACAGCGAAATAAACTTCCCAAATTTTTTCCCTTGAAAAACCAAACCCAAGCATTCTTAAACAAGCCAAGTACAACTTTTTATTGAGCCGAATGTTTGTTGTATCTTGTGAACTCTTACAATGATATCCACAAAATCTTGACTAAAGAAAAAACACAACCACGTTAAATTAAAGTGATTACTTCACTTACTTCCTTCAATCCTGCTGAACAGGAACAGGCCCCATACGTCTCCGAGGAGAAGCGGATGGATGCTGAGGAGAGGATGAACCAGAAAGAGGCTGTCTTCGAGGAGATGACGACTCAGAGGAAGGCTGTCGTGGAGGAGAGGATGTCTCAGGAATAGGCTGCATCCGAGGAGGAGAGGATGACTCAAGAAGAGGCCTTCCGGTGCCAATGAGGGAAGTTTTCCGGACACTTTGGTTTGAAAGTAACAGCCGAAACGTCCATTGGAGAACATTTGGTGTGAATACTCTATAGAGAAGGAAAATGTCGTACCAACTCGGATATTTCACGTATGGATCTCCTCGGCATGCCCCTGATACAATCAACTTTGCAAAGTCCTCCACTGAACTTCCAGATGCATGAACCTTGAATGAGAATGCAAGTAACAACTTTAATTGCACAGAGATAAAACATTACCAAGAGTTCCAAGAAAACCAGAAATTGAAGGTTAATGAAATCCATGATAAATGAAAAAGACAAACGTAGTTTATACGATCTTGCCCGATTCTTAAAAGTAATAACCCTGTGTACGGTTAAGTTCATTCTAATTTAACACTTAGGACCGACCAATACAGCCGGTTAAACTTCAATATCAACATCTTCATTCTGTCAATACTAGTCCACAATCTTGGGCAAGTAACACAATTTTTCTCGGAATAGGGAGACTTACTTCTCTTTCTTCCTTCCACTGCATCTCAGCACCTTCCTCTAGCATGAATCTTCCACCTGTCATTTCAGTCCCAATCCATCCGTGTGTCGCTATTGTGACCCCTACGTCACCGTCCACCTCGAATCTCAAGGTCTCATAAAAATTTACAAGTGCTGCTTTCGCTGCCTATATTATAATACGACACACAAATTATCATCTCTCAAAGGGAAAATGCAACAAAAGAACCACTTGGGGACAAATGAAATAGGGGGCTGACGAAAAAATATTGAGTAATTCAATTCTCATACTGGACGAATTCCATTAGAAGGAATAGATAGCAATGGTCAGAATCACTAACTGCATATAAGCTCATCCTTGGCAAGGGCAACCAACTCTCTACTGAAGCATTGACTATGACTCGGCCTCTGCTTTGTCGCAGATAAGGTAGTGCAACATAGGTAGGATACACATTTCCCCAAAAATTGATATCCTGAAATGGACAATATTCAGACATTTACAAATTTAAAAGGTTTTGGGAGTAAAATGCAAGTTGTTGTACCCCTGCAACAAGATACTTAGAGAAAAATCATTCTACCAATACATTCCCGTCAAAGCTGAATATAAATAATTGTGAATGATTCTGAGTAAAAGCTCCACATACCATCAAAATGGGGAAGACATTTGTATCTGTGGCTTCTTCTAGGTAGAAGGTATGACCCAAACTTGCTGTATTTACAAGATGATCCACTGAAAATACGGAAATGAACGGAGATTATCGTCAGAGTTAAATTCAGACAACCTTTTGGTCACTAGGTGCTATTCTACGAGATTGAAACATGCCAAGCTATACATGCTCCCAATAAGTGCTTTACAAATATCAATTGACCAATGCAATCAGAAACAAATTCATCCGTCTCTAGAACATAACTTGGAGACTGAAACTAAATAACATGTTATGTAAGTTTCAACTTTTTTGTTTTTTCAAAATAGTTGTAACATCTTATTGTGTTTCCTAGACAAATAGTTGTATTTGCTTAATGAGAAATGAAATAGGACATAATATTCTCGCGATAGTAGTAGCACTCAGTAACATCAATGTCACTGTAAAACACGATGCTAGAAAGTTGAACTCGCTCTTGGTAATTTTTTATTACTGAAAAGGTCACATTTTAACAATTTGGTTCGACGTACACATTGTTGGGAGGGACTGCAAGTGTCCACTGCTTTCTCATTTCAATGAGAGAAGAGGTGTTAAAACTACATACTTTTAACACTATTTACAACATAAAACTGGAGATACAAACAAGTGGATATATCAATCAAATTGCTTACCACGCCCGTATAAGTTTACGGTCTCAGTAATGAATCTCCTACAATCAGCTTCCTTGACAACATCTGCAGCTGTTATAACAACACTTTTTGCACCTAATGCCCTCGCATTCTCGCTAATTCCCCAGAGTCTGGTTTCTCTTCGTGCAACCAGAACCAGATGAGCTTTCTTCTTTGCATATTCATATGCAATTTGCTAATTTTACAGAGCAAAACCAAGTATTTGTCACTTGTTCAATAAACAACAAATAGTAACTTTGGGCTTCTTTAATTTCAAACTAAAAATTCGTCTTTGTAACTCCAAAAACTCAAATTCCACAAAAAAAAAACTCAAGAATAGTTCTATCCATTGCATGCTAGGAATTTCTCCTCTAGAAAGAAATGAGTGTTGCCCAAAATATAATAAACCATTTTTTCATCGAAATCTGAGTAAAATCAATACAACTAGACATTTAATTTTCAAGTTCTAAAAACTGATCCAAACCAATTTTTTGGTTTTTTTTTTTTCACTCAGTTTTTTCAGATGCCCAAACACAATTTCAAAATCTATGGTCAAACTGGAACCGAGTCTAATTAAGGTATAGCTCTTCTTTTTTTTTGTTTACCTCTCCAATACCAGAAGAAGCTCCAGTGATGATGACGATTTTGTCCTCCATGTCTTCACCAAAGAACGAGTTGTACATCCTCTCACAAGTGTTGATGAAATACAAAGCAGGCCATGAAAAAGCCAACATAACCAAACTTGCTGGTGGCACCACAAAATTAAGCACTGAATTCACCAAATCCATCATTTTTTAACAACAAGATGAAGAAAAAAAACAGAGCAGAATGGTGTTACAATAATTTGTTGTTGATTTTTGGGTATATTATATGTGTTGAGTAGATAGAGCTGAGTATAATAACAAGATGCATGAAGTTGAACACGTGCTTTAAGGATTTGGTGACGAATGGAAGGGACTTGTTTTTGGAACTTAATGCATGAGATCACAACAAGTCATTATCTGTTTTTGAGTTATATTACTTATTTTTTATTTCTTTTTTTGCTTTAGAAGAAAAAAAAGGTTAAAAATACCTCTTTCATATATATATAAAAAAAATATCACAAGGCAAAAGAAAAATCCGTAAGATATTAAGTTTACTTAAAATAATTATCCTGAACATAAGTTTAATGATATTACGTTTCAAATAAAAGTTTATTAATATAAATTATACTCTTATGACCAAAACACAATTTATTTTCCAGGTATAAGTAAAGTAACACAAATTATACCTACACATAAGAGAAATTAAGCTTAAGGCACAAGTAATGCCCAAACAGAAGTTTAATGGCCTAATATAAGTTGTGTTATATGACTTAAGTTTAGCTGAGGAACTTTCGTATATAGTAACTCAAAAATAGATTAATTATATTTTATAATTAAAATTTACTGATTATGATTTATAAATACATGTTATAGGGAGGAGAGGGGCGAGCGAGACTGGGAGAAGGAGGAGAGAGGCGATCGAAAGAGTGGAGAGAGGTGAATTGTATATGTATATCAGTTAGATAATTGTATATTATACATATGTATTTGTATATTCCAGCAAGAGAGATTGGAAAAGGAGAGACGAGTGAGATTGGGAAAAGGATGAGATAGGCGAGCGAGAGAGGACAATTAATCTGTATAATTCACATATCATTTGTAAAATTTGCGGGCGCATATATTTAATTCACGTGTTTTTGTATAATTTAGTCATATACAAATACAAATCATCGTATACAAATATAAAACAAAGAATTGTTAGTTCCGAGTTACACATATGTGACGAATTATACATATACAAACTCGAAATCAGCCCACACAATTAATGATTTATGTTAGTTGCTAGTGATAATTATAGCAAACTATAACTATGATGAGTAATTAAGTAGTATAAGTTTGCTTAACCACATAATGTTCCTTTTAATTTAGTGTAGGGACAAAATGAAAATATTTATTCCATAAAACTAAATTTATTTTGTAAATAATAAATTTTAAATTATGATTCATATATATTCACAACATATTTTTACATTTCTCATGATTTTTTTTTTAAAAACTCGGACATTTAAAATAATATATTTTGCAATTAGAAGATCTTATTAACTTGATAATTAATATATATATATATATATATATATATATATATATATATATATATATTTGCATTAACAAAAATATATATCTCATAGAAATTAGTTATTTGATAAATAATAAAAATTAAACTAACACGAACTTCACAAGACGTTATTACATGTCATATGACTTTTCTTTGTCTAAAATACTGAAATATTAAGAAATAATAAATCAGTAAAACAAAAAGGGCAATGTTTTAATAACTATTTTGGAGAAAACTTCATGACAAATAAAAAAATTAAATTGTAATAATTTTAACTCTTGAGAAGTTTGATAATTCAAGATA